AGTGCACGTCCTGGGCGAGAAGCGTCACCCTGCGTCACCCGGCAATCCCGATGAGACAAACCCCGATGGCACCTCTCAACGGACCCTCCGTACGAGGTCGACACGTCGACGACGCCGGTCGCGGCCACCGTGCCACGACGTCCAGCTTGCCATCGGCGCGGACTGCGACGTAAGGCCCACCGCGATTCCTGGCCGACCACTGCTCTGGCGCGCAGAGCCACACGTCGCCCATCCGAAACACAACATTCCACGCGGCGAACATCGATCGACGAACGTCTGTCCACGCGGCCATCAAGCCTTCGGCGGCGTGCTAGCGGGAACGTCCCCGCGGGATACCATCGTCGGGCGACGCGATGAGCACTGTTGCGTCACGCCGACGTGTAAGCACGGTTCACCGTGACGGGAACACCGGACAGTCGGCTGCGAAGAAGACATGCGTGCCCCGTGCCACGTCGACCATTGCGCCGCCGTTCTGCCTTGCATGCAGGGTTGGAGACCTGCCCACGGATCGCCTGCCAACACCTGTCCGCCCGAACCGAGACTGTGCCTCTCTATGCTATGACCCCCTGACGGCCAAGTGTCCATGGCATTTCGTCACTTGTTTGTTGCGTTGCATTCATTTTCATTCTGGTGAGCCACATTTCCCTCAGTCATTTTCACGCTTCTCGGAGACCGACCGACCACGCGTGGTCCAGGGTTGACGACGAGCCACGCCGGTGTAGAGTGCGTTTAGGTCGGCAAACTGTACGGGCTTCCGACTTAGGATCATTCCGACTAGGACGACTAGCTAGGTCGACAACAACCGAAAGTCGCCGACCTCTTTCTTCAAACCCACAACCAGTATTGTCATCGCCGGTGATCCCCAGTACGGCCTCGAATGGCCAGGGACCAGTCTAACAACATCCCGCCGGACAACACCCCGACGAACAACACCCCGACCAACAACACCCCCCCCCCGCCCAACCTCCCCCCGAACAACACCCCGCCAAACGATACATTGCCACTTCACACCCCGCCGACCATTGCGCCGCCGACCACGGCCACTCCGAACATCACCCAGCAGAACACCAATCCGCCGCCCTTACTTCCCGAAATTCCCGAATTGACCGACATTGCCGCGGAGTTGACGATCGCCGAGAACATTGAGAGGGCCGAAAGACGGGCAGCCTTTAGGGCCACGGTGCGAAGGCAATACACGGCAGCGATTGTGCAGTGTCGACTTTGGTGGGCTGAGCACGTACCGCCGCGAGACCGCGGCGACAACTAGAGGCCGACGGGAACAACTCTACCCGCCGAGATGGCTGGCGACGCGCCGCCGGCGGGGAGCAGCGCGATTTCCGACCTGAATGAGCCTTTCATGGAGGAAGATGTAGACGCCGCTAGGGCAAATATTCCCGCCGACATGGTGGTCGACGTAGACGCCGCTAGGGCAAAAATTCCCGCCGACCCGACCATCCCCCTACCGCCAGGGACGAAAGGGGCTCCCGAACCCGAGCCGGACCGGTACTCGCCGCTTTCGGACACGGAGCAGCCGCCGCCAATTGGACCATTTCCAGAAACGACTACATGTATCTGACCGTAAAGGACTTGTTGGCAGCCGACGAGAAAGATGACGCCTTCCTGCAAAACATTCCGCGCGACGATTTTGCGGAAGCCGCCTTCGACATCAACAAAGAGCTCGACAAGAAGAACAGATTGCTGAGGATGATGTGGGGTTTCCGGCATCTGGACACGCTGGAGGCGAGAACGACCCGGGTTCAGTACCTGCGGGCGCTGCTCGACTTCAGGAGATGGTGCTGCGCGAACCTTCCAAGACAGCAAACCGCCAGAGTCAAGGGGGACGGCGTGCTGGAACACGAGGACGAGATAGGGAGGTACATCGACGAAGACATGGGTGATCAGTGGCACACCGCCAAGGGCGACCTACAATGGATGCACGGTCCCCGCGTCAACGCCACGCGGATCAGGGCGTACATTCTGTCAATCGCGAGGCAGCATGGTATTGCAAAGGCCGAGGAGCTCGAGGAGCTGAATCCCGACGTCCGTGTCCAGCCCCTGAAGCCGACAACCGTTTCGATGCTGCTCATCCGCATCAAAGCGCTCCAGACAGCCTGCAAGGTCGAGGGGACGCTCTTCGGGGTGAAGGAGCTCCACATCATGTACGACATCTCCGAGGTCCGCTCGGAGGTGCGCGCGATGGTCAGAGAGAAGTGGCACAGGGACGACAGGTAAGTCGGCAAGTCGTCCCGCGCGGCTCACGCCTGTTTCCCGGTTCGCCCAGCTAACCCAGTCCTCGTGGAAACTGATGTGCAGGGATTGCGTCGACCGGCACCGCGGAACGCTCGGCGACACGTACACCACCGACCAGATCCGCCACCTCATGTTCAAGGTCTTGCCGACCTGGGCAGCTCGGGCGTACGAACCCAAAGCGGCCACCCCCTCCCAGACACTGTGGAAGTTTCTGCTGATGAAGACGATGACCCTCTTGGGTCACCACACCCTTCTCCGCGGAGCCAGTCTCCGAGCGATCGAGCTCCCCGACCTGTTTTTGTACAGAATGGGGAACGCGTCGCCCGAGCACTCCACGCGACGGCCGGTTGTCATGGTCGTCGCGTCACGAAACTCCAAGACAAACAAGGATGCTCGTCTGCATCACAGCTACGCGGCGAGACACCTGGAGCAAGAGATGTGCGCCGTCGGTCACACACTGTTGTGGCTGCACTTCGTGTACGGCCAGCTGAGCCGCTCGCCCACCTCTCGATGTGTGCCGCCCCTCGACTTCACAACTCCGTACAGCTGGTATCACAAGCACCTCTTTCATGCTCGGAACGACAAGGCACAAAAAGAGCTGCCGGCTTCATCTCATTCTCGGATCACGAAAGAGATGTGGCGGACGAACAGGATCTTCATCACGCGCAACACCCACGCCGCCCGGGCGGGTGGGGCACAGGAGCTGGCCGACGACGGCGTTCCGCGATCTGACATCGCCGACTTGGGCCACTGGGCGCTCGACAAGCTCGCGAAGAGCTACATCACGACCATCCCGAAGGCGGCGGTGTTGAGAAAGGCCGGCTACACGGGCAAGCGCGGCGACTACCACCTCGGCCGGAGCATGGTGAAGCCCGACGACAAGGTTGTGGCCCTCATCGCCCAGCACATCTTTCCGTGGGCTGAAGCGGAACTGGCCAAGGTGAGCATTTCGGACGGCAAAAACGTCGACAACCCGCCGACCATTTCCACGACGACATTCTACCGACGGCTGATTGTGTTTGTGTTTGTGTTCGACTCGCAGGCGGTAAGGTGCGCATCCGCGAGAGAGCCCAACACGGCCGGGGTGCACTTCCTGCAATCGCTCATCGAGTTCGGCCGCCGAATCATCGCCGAGGATCTTGCGTGCATGCTGATGCGCGAACCGTGGCACCCGTACGTCCAGAGTTCCAAGCTCTGCCGCGACCCCGACTTCCAGAAATGGGCCAAGGACGTCAACCGGGTGGACCTCGAAACCATCGCGACGCGCAGTACTCCGAGCGAGAACCCCCAAGAGGTACGGCGTGCGCGTTCCGACGACCTGTAAAACAAGTCGTCCTGCCACATTGGCTCACCTTTTGCCGACCATCCCCCTTGGATCGCAGGAATTCAGCGCGCGAGTCGACGCCAAATATCAGGTCGGCCAGCTCACCATGATGATGCACCGCCAGAGGGAGGATGCCACGATGGAGAAGCTTGAGATGCAGAAGAAGTTGGAGGAGAAGGACGCGGAGATCGCGAAGTTGATGCAGGCTCTCAAGCTGGCCGAGGCACGGCCGACGCCGACTGCGCCGGCACAAGGCCGATGACCGCTGCCGAGAAGGCAGCGTCCGTTAAGATCGAGAAGGAACAGGACGATGACCTGACGTACGAGGTCAACGTCGTGCATCCCTAGCACACATCCAAGACGGTCGAGGCTGCATGGCGCTGGTGGAACAACCCGTCCAACTTCGACTCGCGTTCGTTGCGCGAACGTTACGACGAGCACAGATTCCTCGTCAGACACACGCGCATGATCTGCAAGGTCGAAAAGGGCGACAAGCCCGCCGCGTTGGGGAAGTCGGCAAAGAGCTCTCGTCCCACGACCGAGGTGGGTGAGACGGGGAAAAACGATGCGCTGCAGCACTGCACTCGCCGGATGAGGCGGATCATGGAAGCGGTGCACGACTTGCGGCGGAGCGACGACGCTGCTGACACCGTCGCCGTCATCAAGCTACTCGACCACCTGGGGCGAGCGGGGCTTTCCACTTTCAGCGACGCGCTCTTGGTCCTCCGTGCAACCCCGCCCATCAAGGTCCCCACCACAGCCGACGGAAAGTCGGTCGGCATCAAGGGTCTGGACAAGTCGCTGGCGAGGAAGCTCGCCGTTGCGTGGGGCATGGTCACGACGGGCTACATGGACGCTGACTGGGGAAAGAGGCTCTTCGGCGACTTGTGGGATGTGCAGGCCAATAAGGCCGGCTTGGAGGCCGAGGCGACGGCGGGAGCCATCGGCGCAGGGAAGCGCAAGAGGGCGGGCTGAGGGTACTGCGTCTGGGTCCGACTTGTGCTGCTGGCTGAGCGTGGTGTGACTGAGGGTGGGTTGAGGGCGGGCCGAGGGCGGGCTGAGGGCGGGCTGAGGGTGGGCTGGGGGTGTGCTGAGCGTGTCCGACCTGTTCTAGTGATCCTATATGGTTTTCTTTTACTGCCAACGTTGTTTCGACTTGTAAATTAGTAGAAGTTTGTCTGTTGTCCATGCATCAAACCGACTCCATACCACAAAACCTACTTCACAGCGTTTTTGAAAAACTACCGACGAACAAGTTCAGCATCCCTAAGCCGGAGAGGCACAACAAAACAACAAAACAGCACCCGAAACACGTCGACCATGTCACGAGCGGTCGGGCCAGCGTTTGTAGGTCTTCGTCAGAAAGCTTGCAGCGTTTGCACCCACGCCGACCATGCTACGAGCAGGCGGGCCAGCCTTCGTCGACCTAGGCGTCGGCGACCTGCTTCCCTTTGTGCTGCTGCCCCCTCGCCCCCCTGTCCCGAATGATAATCTTCATCTGGGGTTCGATAGGCAAATCGACGCCGCGAGCCTTGAGCTTCGGGCCTCCGACATTGCAGTCCCCCCAGAAGGCGAGGTTCTCTATCATGACACGGGCGATCAGCTCGTCGTGCTCGCGCTCCTCCCCGACCTCAGGCAGCGACCTCACCACAGCCGCCTGCAGGTCCTTCGTCACCGTTTCGGCGACCTCCCCTACGACGACCACCCAGGAGGCCGCCCGCTGAAGCACCGCCTCGATGACGGTCCCACACCGACTCGCGAACTCGTTGGACGCTCCGCGCACGGTCGCTGCTGCCCCCCCTTCGCCGGCCGCTACTTCTGCCGTGGCATTGGTCTCCGAAAAACACCACACCGCGGCCGCAGTACCGGCGAGGATCTCGGACAACCGCTCCGACCCGACGCCCGAAATGGGCGTCACTTTCGCGGCCACCGGTGCGAAGGCGGCACACATCGAAACGCGTGCGATCATGTCGCTCGCCACCTTGTTCTTCGCGCGCGGTCGGCTCCGGTTATCCTGTTGTATTCCGCGACCACCTGTTGGAACCTGCGAAACACAGCAGGAATACCCACCGTCACCGACCGGCCCACGCGAACCGACCGAAACGAGCACCAAATTGAGCATTCGCCAAGCTTACCTGTCGCGGAAGACGTTCGCCCCTCGGCTCCACATGACCATCCACATGCCCCCCGGGATAAATCGCGCCACATTCCAGTCCGCCTTATACTGCGCCATCACTTCCTCCTTGACCCCACCGAACTCGTCGAGAACCACGTCGCTGACGAAGCCGTCGAACGACGAAACGGCGACAGCGATGCAGTAGGCGGCCTCGGACTTGTCCATCGACCGGCAGATGTAACGGCTCTTCTTCCCAAACTTCATCTCCGAGACGGCCAGCCCATTTGAAGGGTCAACGCGGACGCCTGAACCCTTCTGACCCTGCGCGGCCGCTTTGGACGTCCCCTTGGAAGAGCCGACCTTCGCCGGGCCGCCCTTCGCCTTGTCCTTGCCCTTGCGCTTTTGCTTCCCATCGCCGACCTCACCGGTTGTGGCCGGGGGGGATTTGGCGCCAGCCGCGCTATGGTCCTCCGCAGGAGCAGTCGAGGCGGCTGGTGCACCCTGTTGCGCTCCCACGGTGGGAGCTGCTGCTTGTAGTTTTTCCCGCATGACCTCGATTTCCAGGTCTGGCATCACGATCCTGGCGAGGATCTCTTCGTCCACCCCGCCGGCCTCTTCCGCCGCTCTCCACACAGCCGCCTCCACCGTTGAGCCACTCGGCCTTGTAGTCGCCGCCGCGACGTTCGCTGCCTCTGCTCCTTGGTCGACCGCCTGGTTGCTGTGAGTCGGAGGAATTACCGGGGTTTTCTGACCTTGATCCTCGAGCCATTTCAGATACTCGTCGAACGATGGGTTTTGAGTGATTAGAGCCTCGACCGCCCGAGACTCAACAGCCGTTGGGATCGGGATCGGTTCCGCGGCGACCATGGCCCCATGAACGGGTAAGCTGGCCGCACCGGCAGCCTGCTGGACATGCTGTCCGACCACCGCTGCTGGGCGCAAGAGCTCGTCGACCAGCGCCGTGACACCACCCGGTCGCGCGTCACGTGCAGTGGCAGGACTCGTCGCGATGTGGGGATGCTGGCCCGCCGCGGCCTGCTGGACATGCTGTCCGACCACGGATGCTGGGCGCAAGAGCTCGTCGACCAGCGCCGTGGCGCCAGCCGGACGCGCGTCCTGTGCAGTCGCCAGACTCGTCGCGGTGGGGGGATGCTGGCCCGTACCTGGCGGCCCGCCCTGCTGTCCGACCACCGCTGCTGGGCGCAAGAGCTCGTCGACCAGCGCCGTGACGCCAGCCGGACGCGCGTCTTGTGCGGTCGGCGTGCTCGTCGACGGGTGAAGATGCTGGCCCGCACCGCGCGGCCCGCCCTGCTGTCCGACCACCGCTGCGGGGCGCAGGAGGTCGTCGGGCAGCTGCGCTGTGACGCCGGTCGGTCGTGCAGTCGGCGGACTCGTCGAGGGTTGAACATGCTGGACCGCAACGGGCTCCCCGCGCGCTTGGCCGACCACCGCTGCGACGTGCATGTCGTCTGCCATCTGGGCCGTGCCGCCGCTCGGTCGAGCGCCTTGTGCAGTCGCCGGACTGGCCTCGGGGTGTGGATGCTAGTCCGCCGTTGGCTGCCAGCCCTGTTTCGCGACCACGGATGCCTCTCCCATGAGCTCGTCGGCCAGACTCACCTGGTCGCAGCTCGGTGGCGCGTCGTGTGCGCTCGAGCGGATCGGTCGGGGCCTGTGGATCGCCACCAGGCTCAGCACCCCCAGGCTCAGCGGAGCGGATCTTCTTTGTGAAGAGGGAGCGCCACCAGGCTCAGCACCCCCAGGCTCAGCAGCCCCAGGCTCAGCACCCCTAGGCGCAGCACCCCCAGTCGCAGCACCTCCAGACTCGGCACCCCCAGTCTCAGCACCCCTAGTCGCAGCACCTCCAGGCTCAGCACCCCCAGTCTCAGCACCCCAAGGCTCAGCACCCCCAGGCTCAGCACCCCCAGTCTCAGCACCCCCAGTCTCAGTACCCCTCTCAGGACCAGAGTCAACAGCTACCTCGACAGGCTCGACTGCGTCTACCTGGGAAACACCTGAGGGAGCAGGACCCTGTGGAGGGAGGGGGTCTACCGAAGGGGCACCTGGGGTGAGGAAGAGAGGAGGGGGAGGGAGCGGAGCAGTGCGGTAGGGGAACACAAGGTAAAAGGGTACCGACTCGTCAAAGGTGACGTCCTGAGAGGGGAAGACACGACGCGAGGTGGGGTGGTAAAACTGCCAACCAGGCGCGTCAGGGACAAAGCCAAGGAAGACACAGGGCATAGCGCGGGCAGAGAGCTTGTCTGCAGTGGTATCGCGGACAAAGGCACGAGCACCCCAGACCCGGAAACGCGACGCATCGCCAACCTGCCCCGTCCACAGGAGTGTGGGCGAGGTCTCTGGAGCAGAGACACGGGGCCAGAGGTTGAGCTGATGCGCGGCGTACTGCACTGCAAACGGCCACAGGAAATGGGGGGCAGCCGCATGGATCATGGACGTACGAGCGACCTCCATGACTAGACCAATGCGGCGCTCAGCAACCCCATTCTGCTGTGGAGAGGCCGGAAGCGTGAACGTCTGGCGAATGTCGTGCTCCGCACAGTAGGCTGCCAAGAGGTCAAAGGAAAACTCACCACCTTGGTCAGAGTGCAGACGCAGGACAAGAAAGTCCGACCGGAACCGGTCGCGGAGCTGGAGACGAGCAGCGCGGATCCAAGGGATCAAAACATCAGGGACCTCACCCTTGGTGCGTAAGGGGAAGACCGTGGTGTAGCGCGTGTAGTCGCCGACAACCAGCAGGAAGTACCGCTCGTGGCCCTGTCCACGGACGCGGACTGGGCCCCACACGTCCAGGTGGAGAGTCTGCAGAGGAGCCTCTGTGGGAGGGAACGAGGAGGAGTGAGGAGCGGCGCGCTGCCGCCCCTCAACACAGGGAAGACAGGGTGGAGCAGGCGAGGGCAGGAGGGGAGGGAGAACCCTGGGAAGACCGGAGACAAGGTACCGGGAGTGCATGCCACGAAGGCGCTGCACTGACGGGTGACCAAGACGGTGGTGCCAGAGAACTCTCTGGTGCGACAGGGAACGACATGAGCAGGGGGCCGACAGCTGACCTGACGCAGACGTAGACGCAGCTACCTGAGGGGACTCAGTGGTCAGTGTGTACAGGTCCGACCCCGACTGCCGAGTGAAGGTAACTAGGTGGCGACCTGTCCGAGCACACGTACAGTGGGTCACACGCTCATAGGCAGGGGTGAACTGGTGAACACCCCCATCCTGAAGAGCAGAGCCCGCCACCAAGTTCGTAGAGAACGAGGGGAGGTAAAGACCCGACAGGGTGCCGGACGGGACCGCAGGACAAGGGAGGACAGTGGAGGAGGTCGCAAGGACCGGGCCCCCAGAGGGGTCAGCGAGGGAGACAAAAACTGGCCGAGCTAGCTGCTCAAGGGCAGTGCGGTCACAGAAGAAACAGCGGGAAGCACCTGAGTCGAGTGTGAAGGTGTGCAGTGCCTCAGTAGACGCAGTACCAGCAAGTGCAGACGCACTAGCACCTAGAGCAGCAGCCTCACCAGGACCTAGGGCAGCAGACGCACTAGCTCCAAGAGCAGCAGCCTCACCAGGACCTAGGGCAGCAGACCCACTAGCACCTGGAGCAGCTGTCTCACTGGTCCCAATGCCCGGGTCGGGCGGTACACTCAGGTAGCAGTCACCCTCAACACTAATAGTCAATGCATACATGGCACCAAGGATAGCATCAAAGTCAAGAGCAAAGATATCAATGTTCTTCCTACGCAGATCAGCCCAGCGGGGCAGCTCAGTGGCGTCAAGAAACTGCTCACGCCAGGCATCGTCAAGACGAAAGAAGCAGCGGTGTGCCGTGTGGAACCTCCCACAGGTCTGGCCAGTGCGGTCACCTGTGCGGATGACGTACGGGCAGGTACCTCCACCCCCAGACCCCCCACGCTGAGAGTACCACTCACGGAGTTGCTGGGGCGAGGGAGTCTTGCCGGGACGCTGCTGCTGCTGCCTCTGGCCACCGCCGAACCCCCCACGCTGCACCGCTCCACCGCGCCCGCCACCCGCTCCACCGCCGCCACTACTGCCACCACCGCCCCCACCACCCCCACCACCTCCGCCGCCACCACCCCCTGTGCCGCCACTGACCCCCCCACCACCCGCGCCACTCCCACCTCCGCCACCACCCCCGCCCCCCCCACCCCCTCTACCGCCGCCGCCCCCGCCTCCACCTCCGCCACCCCTGCCCCCCTTGCCCCTGCCGCCCTTGCGCCTCCCACTAGGAGCAGACGCAGCCCCGACCCCCTCAGCTCCAAGGTAGTCGACAGCAGCAGCAGATGCAATGGAGGGGAGGAGGGGGGAGGGGGAGCACCCCTCAAAGAAGGGGGAGCGGGGGTCACCACGAGAGGCACCTACAGCTACAATGCTCTTCTCAGCTGCTAGGAGTTCCTTCTCGAGGAGGTCGAGAGTGAGGTCAGTGGGGGAGAGGGCGAGAAACTGGTCCCTGACAGTGCGAAGGGAGTCAGGGAGGTGGGTGACTAGGTGGTACAGTGTGAGGTACATCGGGGGGGGGTTCTTGGCGAGGAAATCGGGGGGAGCGCGACACGGTAGCGGAGGTCACTGGTACGGAGGTGGGTGATGAGGTCAGCTATAGTGGCAAAGGCGGACAGGTCGGGGAAGAGGTAGGGCAGTGAGAGACGGCCTATCGCAGCAGTGGCAGGGGAGGAGTAGCGCGCAACTACCGCATCGTACAGTTCCTTAGCGGTCTTATGCTGGCCGAAGTGCTCGCGCTCATCTAACGGCAGGTGGCTGCGAACGGCTAGGCGAGCGTGAGCATCACGGATCTGCCACTGGGAGCAAGCAGTACTGTCAGCAGTAGCGGCAGGTGCGGGAGCGGCGCATGACGTGTGGTCATAGAGGGAGAAATTGTCCTTGGCAGTGATCTGGAGGAACAGGTGCAGGTCATCTAACCAAACCTCAAACTTAATCGGGCGGCCCTCAGCGTCAAAAGTAAGAACAGAAGGACTGGCCATAGTGGCAGTAGCAGCAGTAGGAACAGTAGCAGTAGTAGCAGTAGCAAGAACAGTAGCAGCTGAAGCAGTAGTATTTCCTGGAACAAGAACAGGAGTTGCTGCAGGTGGGGCACAGTAGGGCGGCGCGGCTCGGCCAGGGCGGCTCGGCTCGGTTTGGGCGGCGCGGCTCGGTTTGGGCGGCGCGGCTCGGTTTGCGCGGCGCGGCTCGGTTCGGGCGGCGCGGCTTGGCTACGCGGCGGTGCGCAACGGGGGAGGCGTGCACGTGGGCGGCTTGTAGCGGGCGGGTCGCGGCTGTGCGTGGGCCTGACTAGCGCGCGGACGGCGGCCTAGAGGGGCGACGCGGCGGCCTACGGGTGGGGCTGCGACGCTCTGGGCAGCGGTCCACGGGCGGCTAGGGGGGGGGCTGCTCGTGGGCGGCGGTGGTCGCGCGGGCGGCTCGGGGTGGGCGCTGCGCTCAGAAAAGGCCGCGCTAGGAGGTGACAAGCTGTCACACTCAAAGGGCTGCAAGTGATGTTAAGTGTTGCCAAGTTAAGCTCGTAGTTCAAGCTTTAATCGCTTCCGCATAACGTTATAGCTGTCAACAACAGGCACCCTCAGCACTAGTAGACAATGCATATATGGTAGTGAGGATAGCATCATAGTCAAGAGCGAAGATATCCACCCTCTACCTAAGCAGCTCCAGCCAGGTGGGGACCTCAGCCTCGTCGCCGAACACGGTACGCCAGGCGTCGCTCAGGCAGGCGAAGCAGCGGGACAGTGTGTGACCCATTGCACCGCAAGTCTGACCAGTCCGATCACCTGTGCAAATGACGTACGGGCAGCGAACGGTACTCCGAGACCCTCGACTCTGAGCGTACCACTCACGAAGCTGCTGGGGCGGAAGAGTCTCGTGCGGACGCCGCTGCAGGTGCAGCTGGCCACTGCCAGACGCTCCCGAACGACCCGCTCCAGGGCGACTCCCACTACGGCCACCCCTACAACCCCAACTAGCGTACCACTCACGAAGCTGCTGGGGTGTGAGGGACTCACGCGGACGTCGCTGGAGCCGCATCTCTCCACCGCCAATAGCAGCAAGTAGCAGCAGGAGTGGCAGTGCAGCAGTAGTAGCAGTGACAGCTAGAACAGCAGGAGCAGCAGGGCAGAGCAATGCGGCTCAGTAGGGCAAGGCGGCGCGGCTTGGTTGGCAGGCAGGCGCGGCACGCGCTGGTAAAGCAGGCGCGCGGGCAGTGCGAGTAGGGCAAGTGCTCACTAGATGCGGGTGGGGCAGGGCGCGGGCGGGCCGCAGATGAGGCAGAGCGCGGCGGCCAGGGTGGGGGGGGGGGGGGGGGGGGGGGCGACGAGGAGGGACGACGCCCAGGGGGCGCCGCGACGAGCAGGGGCGACGCCGCGCGGGTCCCACAGGGGCGTTGAGACGAGCAGGGGCGGCGCCCGGGTCCTGCAGGGGCATCGTGACGAGCAGGAGCGGCGCCGCACGGGTCCCGCAGGGGCGTCGCGACGAGCAAGGGCGACGCCCGGGTCCCGCAGGGCGTCGTGGGGTCTAGGGGCGGCGTCGTGGGGTCCAGGGGCGGCGTCGCGGGGTCCAGGGGCGGCGTCGCGGGGTCTAGGGGCGGCGTCGCGGGGTCCAGGGGCGGCGTCGCGGGGTCCAGGGGTGGCGTCGCGGGGTCTAGGGGCGGCGCCGCGGGGTCCAGGGGCGGCGTTGCGGGTGCAGGGCAGGCCCATGCGCGGTCTGCAAGGCAGGGCAACGGGCAGGCGCTCGAGGGCACGGGTAGGGCAGGCGCTTAAGGGCGCGGGCAGGGCAGGCGCTCGAGGGCGCGGGTAGGACAGGCGCTCGAGGGCACGGGTAGGGCAGGCGCTCGAGGGCATGGGCAGGGCAAGCGCTCGAGGGCGCGGGTAGGTAGGCGCAAGGCGCGTGACGGGGCAGGCAGGCACGGCAGTGCGCTTCAAGCAGGGCAGAAAAAAAAAAAGTTCGTGGTGGGCCCTAAAAAAACGTTCCCACTAGGGAACCTGGTTTGAAACCATGTGAAAATTAGAACGAGGAAAAATGAATCAACTAGGAAGCAGGTGGGTACAAGTAGGAAAACCTAAAAGTGTTGTACCCCATATTGCCTACCCCACTACAGCCTACACAGACTATGTCATATAAGTTTGACAGTATGCGCTCGGCACTCCTCATCCTCCATTTCTATTGAGCACATCTCACCTCAGAGGTCAAGGACGCATGGGGGCGGATCAGCGAAGTATCATCGAGCAATATTGTTGAATTTTGTACCGACAAGCCGCCGGTGCGACATTCCACTCGCCCCAATACAAGCGTGCTTCCACAGCACTATCAGACTGTCCGTCCGACGTCCGCATACGGACATTGCACTATTCCAGCTGGATCTTGGCACGCGCGTCTATCCTGAGTGGCATCGGGGCATCTCGACGATGACCGCCAAGGAAGCGTTAGCGAGCTGGAAAGGCAACGCGGTGAAAGCGATCAGGCGATACGAAGCCTCATCGCCAACGACATGTGTGAGTTGGTGCCTCAACTGGGTGGTGTCAATGCGACGAAGAACCGCTGGGTTCTCATAACAACGTACAGCACCGACGATATGGTCGCCGACGAGAAGGCACACCTTGTGGTGAATGGTTTTACGCAGGCGCTTGGCAATCACAAGGTGTATGCGCCGGTCGGCAGCCGCGTCACCCTATTCATCTTCCTCTCCATCGTCGCCGCCCCCTCCAATCCCAAGGTTGCCTCCTGTCACCATTGGCGTTCCCTTACCCAACCTGTACCTTACGTCAATCCCCGAGGTTTATCATAGCTAGGATTGCCCACTATTTTACCTAGTCCCATTCATTGTATGTATAGTTAATTTGGTTAGCGTTTGCCGCTCTCCTTCATCCGGTTATTCCACGCACCCTTTTTTACAAAAAAATAAAACACAACCAATAATGTGCTCGTGTCTTTTTCTTTTCTCAATATATATTTGTAATTATCTTTAGACTCGTAGCAATGGTATTTACGGCGCACTTCGCGGGGCCTTGTAATGATAGGACAGCTGAGGCGTATGGTGGTGTCGGTGGGATGCAAGGGTTGAGCAAATTCTGAAATATAGGAAGGTTTGAGTCGGTGGGACGCGTTACAGTATGCTTGAGAGTGTTTTTTTTTTTTTTTTTTTTTTTTTTTTTTTTTTTTTTTTCTTTACAGATCAGGTGCCTAAAAATTGCAACATGCCCGCCAAAAAAGCCTACACTGCCACATTTCAGTCCCGTCAGAAACACACTGCAGTTTTGCCACTTTTTCAGGTGATGGGGTTGAGTTGGCCCAATTGATGCCTTCTCCATAGATCTGGGAAGTTTCATGATGGAAATTGCCTACCTTCGAAGACTCTTGATTTGTGCCCCAAGGCAGCCTTGCCGAGTGTAGTGAGGATGGGTTGCAATAGAAATTGCCCTGGTTCGAAATTGGTGCCTGACAGGGCCTTGGTGACGACGACTGTGACGGGTCACAGTTGCAAACGCTCAAGGAAGTTGCCTGAATTGTGTGATAGGAGCCACTCCGACTGCACGAGGAAAATTTGCATACGCTCCTCCGACCATTGTCTGGCAGAAATCGTGGGGGAATGTGCAGCAGCAGCCATCTCTTGAGTCCCTTGAGAAGTTCCATTTAAATCAAGCGTGGTCGTAGCATGGCACCATAGATTATCGTCGTCAAGTTTGCATGAATACTTCTTGAGGGTTCTCCGTTATAGGATCTGCCAAAGTTCCCCATCCAGCTCTTGTGAAGTTCGTAGTGTCGGCAGCATCAACTTCCTCTCCCTCATGGCAGTCCCAAGTTATGCTAGAAATAGTGACTTCTCCTTCTGTCGCTTCAGCCATGCAAAAAGATACAGTTCTTTGCACTTCGTCCCTATAGAGTTAGTGGAACTTGACTCTGAGATAGACCTGAAATTATGCTTCACCGTGAGCTGTCGTGACGAGTGTAGATTTACACCACCAGGATCCTCTTCGTAAGGAGCGAATAGTTGTAGTTGGAGAGTTGTTGCTTGATTCGATGTTCTAGTTCCTACTTTTGATTGTCGTTCAATGGTAGAGAAGGCAGATAATCTGAAGACGTTCCATTGCAATGCTTCCGTGTACTTGTATTTCCAGCGTTGCTATACACCTGTATTTATTTTCTGATGCTATCTTGGATGTCTGGAAACTTGTGTGCACTTGATGATATGGAAAACAGGATTCTGCAGGAGCAATAACGACGGTCCAATTTTCGCTATATGAACATCAAGTTGGCGTCGATAGTCAACCCTTGATGTGGAGATCCTGAATATGCTCTCAGATCTTGGAACCAATAGAGTTGTGCTTGACATTGATGGCCTTGAACTTAATAACAGGAGCCATGGCAGAGAGGTAGCTTGAAGCATTGTGTCCCAGAAAGCCAAGTAACGAGCTGCTGATATGCGATGGTTATTGTTTTTCAATCGGGTAGTATCATTCCGATTGTTGTGAGAGTGTTTTAGTAGTGTTACGAGTGCAGAAAGATCATGCTGCCTTCTCAGCCCTTAAAACTGTTCTCTGTTCACCGCCCGCACTGCGCATTGCCGACCCATTACAGACGCAAGCGACATCACTGTCGGAGCCGTACTGCCACAAGATTTCGGCAACGGCCTACAGCCCATTGCATACGAGTCACGAAAACTACATCCGCCCGAGAAAAATCACCCGATACACGACCGCGAAATGCTCTCAATCGTGCACGCATTCAAAGTGTGGCGTTGTTACTTGATCGACGCAGACGTGATAGTACAGACAAACCACAAGTCACTACAGTACCTCCGCGCACAACCCCACCTCAACCCACGACAGATTCCCTGGCTCGATTTCCTCGAGTCGAATTTCCACTACACAGTCACCTACAAAAAGGGGGCATCGAATATCGCTGAGTCACTGACCCGCCCCACTGCCCAGATCCACGCCATACTACTCGCCCAGATCAGCCCACTACTGACAAGACTATT